TATATATATATAAAATCTGATGCACATGGCAACTAGTGACTGTTCATGCAAAGCTAGATATTCAACTCTCTGTGGATGATGATTTATCATGAATGGAATTTACTTACCTAAGCCCCCTGCTTTTGTTAGAAGCATGGGCTTCCTGATAAATATGAGCTGACTGTCCTTCCAGGAGTGGAATTTTCTCAATGTTGACCACATCTTTTGGTGCCATCTTTTGATGGTGCAAGTGGGCCTTATTAGGCCAATTTTGTAGAAGTTGACAAAGAGCCTTAACATTCATGTTTAATCTTGCTGCTGTACATGTTGCTATATTGAGAGGTAAATATCTGAGAGTTAAAAATAAGCTGAATTGTGTATAATCCTTTAAAAAATTGTACTGGTCTTGCATTCCTTACAGAGGGTTGTTCTGTAGTTGATGGAGCAGTTGGAGAAAACTCAGTGGGACTAAATAATGTGAATTCCCTACTTTTGTTGCAGGTTTTCAATGTAACATAGAAGAAGCCTTCACTTGTAAGAGTTACTCATAAAATAGAGATAGTGATATCTCCTTACTTCAGAACATTATTGAAACACTTCCTTGAATAATTGTGCCACCTGGGATATGAGCACAATGAATACAGTCTAAAATGGGTGCTATTCTTTTAGCCCTAACGTGGTATGATGGTGATTCCATGGCCAAGGGATTTTTTGCATTGAATGGAGCCAGTATCTTTTTAATTAATAATTGAAGAATTTCTTATTTTCTTTACTAGTTTTAGTCTCTATGAAATAGAGACCTATCTGTCTGCTCAAGATGTTCTTTGTGCTTCCCCTACAGATTCTGGACTTTGGATTGGCGAGGCATACGGACAGCGAGATGACCGGTTACGTGGTTACAAGGTGGTACAGAGCCCCAGAGGTGATACTTAACTGGATGCATTATACGCAAACAGGTCAGCATCTCTTCAGAAAGGTCTTAACAGAGCTAAAGCATTCACTGAATCAGGCAACATATAAGCAAGTCTTTGTTTCTGAAGTGAGTGAGAAATTAGAGGTGGAAATGACAATATAATTATGCAAATTGTAGATAAATTGCAAGTAATCATTTGTTGGCTGTGAGTCTGGGGGCTGTTTTGGTGTATTTTTTGTGTAATGGAAAGTGCCACAGTGGTTGGGGAAAAAAGGGATATAAATGTATACAGAAGTGATAGTCTGGACTATGTTCTTGTGTTCTGCACTGACTGTCATCTTCCTGCAAAGATACGCTGATTGTAACTCGAACAGACGGGAATATGGCAGGAGGGAATTCAAGTAATGCTAGGGTAACTATGGAAGTTTTTGAAAGCACTGAAAATTTACTTCCCACGTGCATCTGCCTGCTACTGAGAAACTGATTGTGTATATTATCAATTATCTCCAGTTTAGGTAGCCTTTCTTTCCAGTTAGAAAGCCTGCTAGTTTTACCTGTACTGTTCATCATACTTGGCAAGGCACTCATTTATTTTGTAACAGGCTGTAAAGGTAAATTTTACACTTCTTTAAAATATGTTTTAAATGAAACTTTACATACATTTAAATGGAAAAGTATTCAGCAATTTAATGTGACTGTTGATCTCTTTTTCAGTTGACATCTGGTCTGTGGGCTGTATAATGGCTGAGATGATAACAGGAAGGCCTCTGTTCAAAGGAAATGATCGTATCCTTCAGTGAATTTATGGCAGTAATGTAAGAAAATGATGAGAGGTCCTTATGTGATGCAGTAGGTCTGCTAAAAAACTGATATGCATAAATTGAACTTAATAGTAGAATGGCTTACACTTTTCTCATTAATTAGTTGATATCTGTACCACTTTTGCACATCTGCCAATTAAAACTAGATAGAGAGGTGATCCTTGAATCGTGTCTCAAATCATCAGGTAAAAGTTTCTGTGATGATAGAAAAGGCATATTTTGATTTTTTTTTTAGTAATAGAATCCACAATTCCAGAATGTGCACAGAGGATTCTGCTGTAGTATATGAACTTATGTGCACACGCTAGTCCATTTCATGCTTTTTGAGACTTTTACCAAAAAATGTTACGTAAGTAACATCTAGTAAAATGTTTTGTATTTACAGAAAACATCTAGTCCTATCATTTCATTGCTGAGGAATTAAGAACATAGTTAAGATTAAGCCAAAAATCAACCTCAAATGATACTTCATTGGCAGTAGTAGTTGTCATAGTTAACAGAGGACAGTATTAATAGAAGACAGCAAGAATTTTTAAATTTTTTTTTCTTTCCCAGCTTTGTGTGTTTGACAGCTCAGCTTGATCATTTTGCACTGCTTTTCCCCTTGTGGAGCTGCAGTCAGTTTGCTTGTCAGCAAATACTTGTTTACAGAATCACAGAATCACAATTATTTAATTTTAGGTGTATTTGTATTTAAGTATTAACATGTAAGATTAGGGCTTCATTGTATGTATTATATTATTCTTGTTTTGTGAGGAAAAACGTAAAAGACGAAGATTGCATTCACATTAAAAAAATTACAGGGACTATGGAAAGGTAGAATACATCAAATTATTTCAGCTGTACAGATTTTAAGTGTGCATTAGTTCCAAGAAAATACTAAGATGCCTGCCAAAGAGCAGCCGTTGACTAACACATAGTGTTTCTCAACTAGTGCTAACCTTGAGCATTCTGGTATGTTAATAAGGAAATGAACGAGTCGTAATTGTCAAGTTGCACTGTAAATGTGAGAGTGGAAAAGCTAGTATTCTAGTTATACTGGGCTTTGGAGACTTCAGCAAATGCTGGCCTCTGAGTGAATTGGTATTACCTATTGTCAGGGAAATGCAGCCATGGGTTCAGCTGTTGGTAGGTGAATAAGAAAACAGCTAACTTAAGGGGTTTTTGGTTTAGTATTATCAATAGGTTATCCATCAAACTTGCTATGGGATTTTATTTACTCATTTATTTCATCAGCATTACCCACCATTGCTTTTTTCTGCAGAGTCTTGTGGAATCCTTGTGTGCCCTGAGCTCTGACCTAGCCTCTGGCTTCTCCTCTGCTCTCACCAGTGTTCCAAACAAGTCAGAAAGCTGTTCTTTACAGCATTGGTCTCCCTTAATATGGTGTTTCCTCTTTGAAACAGCTAATAGTGCTGCTGATTAATCTATGCTGGTTTAGGACTCAGAAGATTAGGGAGTGTTCTGATGCTCACCCCAATGTCTCCAACATCTCAGCATCTGGAACCAAGCTAAGCTTGTGGGAATTGAGGAGGAGAGGGATTAATTTATTTCCTCTTTAAAGTTGTCAGTGTGTAGAAGAACTAACACAGACTGATTTCCTCTGATTTTTGTTCCATGTATTGTACCACCTGATGTTCCCTGTGACTTTTGCTGCCTCTATGTCACCTAAGTATTGGATAGACCGGGGCAACACATGTAATACGTGTGTTGATTTTTCAGATATTCCAATACTTTTGGACTGATTTTGACAAAAAGTACAGAGGAGGCCTGATGGTAATAGAGGATATGTTCCCTAGTTATAGGATATTTTATTTCAGGTGCTTTCAGTGTCTTTGCTTTTTTTGCAAGAAGAGTGGAGAACTTTCATCTCATCTTTTTAAAATCATCTGCTCAGTTGTCACATTGTGATTTTTGCTTTATTCTCCAATGGGGAAGACATGCACAATTTTTGCAGGGTGCTTTATTTTTCTTTGTTGGAAGACTTTGTTCCTTATTTCTGATATTCAGATCTGGACCAACTCACAGAAATAATGAAAATAACGGGTACACCAACTCAAGATTTTGTTCAAAAACTGCACAGTCAAGATGTGAGTATTCTGCTTTGTCAGTTGGGTTTACATCTTAATTTTACTTAAGCCATGTTCAGTTCTTAGACTGTCTGAGATAATATGTATGGACTACTGAAATGACCTCTGATGGTACATCTCTGCCTTGAAGTGCTTTGCACACCCATAATAGCTACAGGAGATTGGAGGGGGGGGGTGGTGGTGAAGAGAAGTGAAATGAAGAGAACACTTGAAAAATCTGTATATTTAAATAATTCAAAGTTTCTAGTATGTACCATATAAACAGTTAGGTTGATGCATTACTACTTTTATTGGAAATGTACTGAAAACATGAACCTATTCAGAAAACCCAGTTGTTTGCAGATGTCTCTGGCTTTGTCTTTCCTGTTCTTATGTGGATGTCTTTCTAGCATCCTTAAGCTTCGACTATGAAGAACCTAAAATTACTCATTATAAAATTACTGATATTAAATATGGAACACTAATAATTAAAGCTTTATATTATGATTTCTTAATCGTCACTTTAAGGGCTGATTTTTTAAAAAAAAGTTTATTTCAACAAGAATGTAGATATAAACCATGACAATCACCTCAAAACCACTCATTTGTACAATATGCTATCAAAGCATTGCTGAGTTACCTATTAAGCATATACTTAATGTTGTATTACAAAGGCAGCAAAGGTCTAATTTAATATTTGTGTTTCTTTTAAGGCAAAAAACTATATCAAAAGCCTCCCAAAAGTCCAGAAAAAAGACTTTGCATCCATCTTGAAGTATGCGAATCCTTTGGGTAAGACAGTTTGTGTGGATGTGTACAATTTGACTTGTTCTTTTGTCTGCATTGGAGGCAGCAGCAGTATTGGTCATGAGATGGGTTATGCGATGATTCTTGTGCTTTTCTATCTCTTGCTTTCCATAATTCATAACTTTCATTGTAGTGGCTGAACTTTGCCTAGTTTAGACCCTGCCAGGAATCAGGTCTTTCTTAGAAGCACCAAAAAATAAGTATTTTGTGGTTTAGGCTTTGGTCCAGCAGTTGCTTATTGGTTTTACTCTGGAGCAGCTTTCTCAAGAGCCCTAGGAGATTAAGTAATAAATTTTTCTCTGTATTGTATTGGAAATATAATTGTGAAAGTTCAATCTTATCTACAGGAGAAATGCAAGCAAATAGAAAGCTGGCATTTTAGTCATGGAATGAGTACATCCTGAGAAACATCTGTGCATTCCTGAGAAGCACTGGCTTTGATTTGGGGAGATATAAACAGCCAGAAGAGCATGCCAAGGGTGCATAACTGTGACATGGCCCAGGGCAGCCAGTGCTCTGAGATGGCTCTGCCCAAAACTTATCTGTTGCCCAATGACCTGAACACTCACAAAACCAGTTGTAGTAAAATATAAATTAGGATAACTGAATCTTCTCAATTTAAGAAGTTAAAATTATATGTTCAGAGACAATAGAAATAAACATGATTAATAAGCAGCTCATACCCTGCCTGCATGGTTAGCTCACTGACCACCTCAGCCACAGCAAACTGCACGTTTCCATTTAGTTTTTAGGACATTTCTTTCCATCACCTCTGTGGCCATCTGGCTGCTACTTACGTAGAGAAGAAGTGCTCATGGTCTGGGAGACAAGGTTAAAGAGAATCCACGACATGGCAAGCAGAAGTTGCAGCATCCTGTCCCATGCTGCTGTCTCTTCTTCCTTTTAGCTGCTCCACCCAACCCAGGAACATCCTTCCAGAATAGAAAAACTAAGAATAAACAAATCATTCCTCATATTTGTTTACGCTAGCCCAATTTGACAGTCTAACCATGGACCTGATTCAAAACCCTTTGAGGGGAACATAGAAGATTTCCATGAAATGTTTTAGCTGAGGTCAAAAAGACATAGCAGTCAGTGCTGAGATTCTGAGCATGGAGAACTGACTTGTCTTAGTGAACTTCAAAGGGTACTTGAGCTTGGATTTGATCACATATCAAGCAGTTCTCGTTATCTCTGCACCCACCCACTCATTCTGCTGCTGTCAGGTGGTGATGTACCTTACAACCACAACATGGTGGCAGTATGACACCTGGGAAGCCCCTAAGCACAAAGGTCCTGGAGCCAGAAGCTGAGAAGTCATTGGCTGAGGTGATGTGGCTGTGTTGCATACAGAGGCAAGAGAGCTCCTCTATGTTGCATCAGGCTTTGTACATGTCCCAGCCTGCTCACAACACTATTTTGATGGTCCCCACTGGCTATACATTAAACACTCAATGATTCTGCTTTGTAACTCTGTATTTATTTAAAGTATCTTCTGGGCAACATCACTGTGTAGAAGCTGGAATCAGTGGCATGATTTGAATGCACTGTTTGTTTTCTGTTCAATAGCCGTAAACCTTCTGGAGAAGATGCTGGTGCTGGATGCAGAGAAGCGAGTCACAGCAGCTGAGGCTTTGATGCATCCTTACTTTGAACCAATTCATGATCCTGAGGAAGAAATTGAAGCTGAGAAATATGATGACACATTTGATAACATGGATCTTCCACTGGATGAGTGGAAGCGTGAGTTAATTTTGTGATATTTTAAAAAATGACCAGACGGGCCATCCAGAAATGAGAGTATTCCCCTTTACAAATTACTTTCTCTGTTTCTGATGGAACAGAGTAACTAGACAGCAGTAAGATAGAGAAACACTATTGATAAGCTGGTGTTGCCCTTATCAAGTCCTTCTGGAACCATCCCCAAAGGTTTTCTTTGCTCCTCCCCTTTTCTGTGTGTCTGTTCTCCCATCTTCTGCAATGTAGGAGAGAAACCATTTCTGTAACATGTTCCTTCCAGTGGACAGGACAGGCAAACAGATTCCTCAGCTATTGGCTCTATAGGAGTGCAACTGTGCTGGCCTTAATTTTAAGTTAGATATGTTTTTTCTCCCTGAGAGAAGCTGTCTCAGCAGAGATTTGAGCCTGAATCTAATTTTCTTCTAAAGTTAGGGGTTTGTATTTTGCTTTTTAAGTGAGGACTTGACTTTTAAAGTTGATGTACTCAGTAGCTCTTTCTGAGGATATTGCGCACTATACTGTAAAGTCAGTGCTCGCATCCCTTTGAAAGCACCTGCAGCATTTCAGTGTTGGGTTACTTCTTCAAATCTGAAATGGTGAAAAAATTATCTTTGATTCCCTTAGTTTTTGTACTCTTTCTTTTTTACCTGAAGAGGTCTCTCTCTTCCTGGCTTAGATCAGAGCCCAACCAAACTGGGTGTTGCACCTTGCTCATGTCTGTGCCGCTCTTCTTTCTTATTAGGCCAACAACGCTATGTTTATTCTGTTTTTTTCCAGGCATTACATATAAAGAGATACTGAACTTCAAGCCATCACAAACATTGGAGTCAAAGGAGACTTCAGTGTAATTGTGTGATTCAGTCTTTTCACAGAAGAAGGCAGGAAAGTTGTAAATGTTTGTGATATTTCAGGTGTATAAAACTTTTATAAATAAACTGGATGTAATCTGTTTCATCTGCACTGTGAGAAAGAGCAATGTCTTTTACTCTGCATGTGGAAGTTGGTGCCTTTAGGAGTAGCATTTCAAAACTGTCCAGAAACTTATTCTTGCTCACAACTTCTTCCTTCTGCACGAAAGCATTCAGACAGTGATAACCTCGTGCCTCGAAAGATCAGGTAGGACTAATTCTTCAGACCAGAGATCAGAAGAGTACAAGTTACCACCCTAAGCAAGCTGAGACACAGCATGTCATAGATGTGCCATGGCTGCTCTCCAAGGCCATTGAACTGTCCTGAGTGCAAGAAGTATTTGTGTGACTTCCTCTGGAATACTTCACCTCACTAAGATGCGTGGGGAGGCAAATCAGCTTCTGCTACCTCAGCTGGTGCAACAGGAGTGGTAACACAGCCCATATGAATGCTGGTGTCCCCTGTCCTGTGTGAGGGGAGAAGAACCTGAGCTCCAGCCATTTCTGACAGATCTGGGCAAGAGGCAATGAATAGAGAAGTGTCATAGATACCACGTTGGGAGGGACCACAAAGATCATCTAGTCCAAGATCAATGTCAATGTCCTAATTTTTTTCAAAGTTACCAGTGTGGCAGGACAAGATTCCACAATTGTAGTAGGTGAACACTCGATGGATAAACAGTCGCTGTCAAGGGTACAATATTTTCCTCTTAATACAGTGCAGTCTCTTTGTATAATAAACTAGGGATCAAGGATTTCCAGGAAGAAATTCTTAAGACTTTATAAAATTCTGAAAGCTCTCTAGCATCTCAGTGTTGAAAATGATCATGGAGAAAGTGCATTTTCTCAGAGGAGGTACTGGTTAAAAATCAGCGGTGCTCATTTTAGAAATAAAGCTGTCACATTATAGAAAATAAAATGAGGATGTAATTGCTATGCTGCAGCTGTTCATTGAGAATACCTGCAGCAAGCTGTTTTGTTCACAGTATACAGAGGTGTTGCCAGGTGAAGAATTAGCAACTGTTCCCTGTTCCTCTTTTTTTAGCCTTTTGAACTCATCTTACTTGGGGAGGAAAACCCTCAGACCTTCTGTTGGGAGCTGCCTTACCAGGAGTTGGCTTCCTGATGGGTTATTGGTTTGACACTTCCTGAGTTTCTCTTGCTGTCTGGGTTCATTTACTGTATTTTCCTAGGTGCTTAGTTTGTAATAGTCTCTCAGAGGTAGGATAACCTTACATTGGCTGAGGTGAACTTTTCCCCCTCTTAATCTTGACTCCATATTGGAGAAGTGGCTAGCCTGCATGAGAAAGACCTAAGAGGATGATGTTAGTTTTTCTAGATACTGGGAGAATACAGAACTCTTAAAATCACTGAAGAAAAGGCCCTGATGCATGTGCCAGCAGGGGCAGAAGTCCTGCTGTGCTGCCTGGTCAGCAAACAGTTGTACGATAAAGTAACAAGCGTGGAAAGTTGGTCACATCTTGGCAAGGTGTTTCTGCGAAGAGACTGAAATCTTGCAGAAACCGCTCCAAACAGCAATAGAGATTATTAGTATAAACAGCTCATTAAAAGAAATGCGAGGTGAAAGCAGAAATATTTGCATGGGAGGCAGCTGCTGCTTCAAAGGGAGAGACATTGCCCAAGTTTTTGTTTGCTATTTCTGCTGGTGCTAAGCAACTCAGGAATAAGAACCCAATTTCTGTTTGCCTTAAAGAGAAATGTAAATACCTTCTGCATGTACTTGAAATGTATTGTGACAAATAAAGGTTGGGGGTTTGTTTTTTACAGAATAATGGTCTTATTTTCCCCATATGTATTCCCAAATGTATAATCACCCCTGAAAATAGTATTTTCAGTATAAGGGAACTGTGTGAAACCTAATACTGTAGGTACATTTCTTGTAATATGAGCTGCTGATGTAGTTTACTTTGGAAGTCAGGTTAGACCACAGATCCTAACCTTTCTCTCATTTTCCAAGCTTTAATTCAGCCACAGAGCTGATCTGATTGTCCTACTGCCACCTAATTATTTCTTGCAGCATCTTGGGTTTTACTAACATCTCTGCTTTATTCTGAAGACCAGGATTTCAGTGCTTAAACAGCTGCATTTATTGGCTTGATTTTAAAAGCTGAAGTCAGATTGATGGTCATCAGCATATACATCTTTGAGTTAGAGAAATTTGAGTTAACAGAGTTCTGATAGGATATATGGGACCTTTGCCCTGAAAACCCATGTGTCCCCTGACTCTTTCAGAGCCTGATTGTCCCGTTAAGTACTGGTCTTCATTATACTGAAAACTCATTGTTCATGTTCAGTTTTGATAATGTGGTGGTATGGGCCAGACATGGCTCACAATTTTGCTTCTTGATTGTTTTCTGGGTTTTTTACAGGATAACGCTAAAGTCAGTGCTAATGTGTGTCCTGCAAAATATGTTCAGAAGATCCACTTTGTTCTTGATGCAGAACTACCAGACACATGAGCTGGGTGGGATTCTTTGAGCTTTGTACTTTCTGATCTGCTGTTCAAATATTGGATGTTTCTGGTCTGCTTCAGCTAAGGTTGTCAGAGAACAAAGCATCTGTTAGATGCTGTTATTCACTAGATCTAGGTATGAAATAGTCCTGTAGGGCTTTAGAAAAGCCCCAGAGAAAGAATAGGGGCTCATAACGCCTGCTGTTTGTGCTGATTAATTCTCCACCTCCTGAATACACTGCAGGGCAACTGGTTGTGTAAGTCAAGTAACACAGAAGCAGTTTCATAGACTACAGCACTTAAAATCTCCCCTTAAGTATTTTTAAGAATTCAGAAGCACGAGTTGAAGAAAAATGGAGGAGGACTTCCATCCTACAGATGCTCTTTGAAACTTAATGGACTACCAGTTAATGAGCAGCACTTGCACACAGGTGATTTGCCGCTCTCTGGGACAGTAACATAATGATCTAAAACCTGCATTGCCACCTAGCAGTTGCATGCAGCTCTCAGGCATGGGAGTGATGTGTGCTTTTTAGCTACCAGGAACAGCATCCCTCTGCAAGGAGGTATGTGGGGCCAAGCAAAGTCATTTAAGGGTTCGTTGTATTTGTCTGCTGCTATCCTGCTTTGCAAGCAGAGCTCCCTTATGCTTAACCTTGCTACATTTCCATGCAGTTTTCTGTTCGTTCCAAGGTCTGCTTCACCAGTACCTGGTGAGGTGCATTTCCCAGCTAAGCTTGAGCCATCCAGGCATGCAGCTCCTGTGCAATACTTCAGTAAGTATTTTGAATACACTGTTCACTGTGGGAGGCAGAATGAGGCAACTGGTGAACCAACTGAATGAAGTATAGCAAAATAAATTGCTCAGATCCTGTTACAGAATGCGTCAGTTTTGCTGTGGGCATGTGGCCACGAGGAGCAGGAAGTGTCTCTTGTGGGTCTGCATGGTGCCTGCACCAGCAAGGCTCTCATCTGAGCGACACTTGTGATACCAACGCAACCTAAGACTGCCACCTCATCCAATTCAATCTGATATTAATGAGAAACTCATTGATTATTATTGTAACAGTAGTAGTGTAACACATTATAAGAGTAAAATTATACTGCTCAGGATACTATGGTCATTTAGTCCACTGGGGGTTTGGGCCAAGGCAGAATTTTTCAGGCATTTTAAAAGCCCTGTTTGTACGTGACAGAGTTCTGACTGCCAAGTGATGCCACTTAGTGGGTGTCCAACCATTTTGCTGTTCTGAGAAAACTTACAGTTTTGGTTGAGAGTCAAGACTCAATGTTCTTTTTCATAAAATCAGTAATGTGCTACTGTAAGGAGAGAGAATGTGAGAATTATAATCAGAAAAACAGTTTAACAAAGCAAACCTCTCTCTTAAGATCTAGGATACATTATAAAATAAAGTTCAGTTACAAGGAATCAAAATTGCTACTCAGGAAGAATCCTGAACCATGGCTGGAATAACCAAGTATTTTCCGTTAGAGTTTCAATGCTTACAGAATCCCAAAGAGACTTTAATGCAGAAAAATTAACTTATAAGCTTTCAACAAAGAGGAAGCATGACTGGTGCACACCAAACGTCTGCTGGTCCTGAAGCAGGGCACCCTTTTAAGAACAGGTTTGCATATTGATGAGGGAGACACAGCACTGCAGGAATGTCCCAGAAGCATCCTTCAGAAATGTGTGCTGATCTGGAAGCACAAATGTTGTTTCGTCTTGCTGGAACAAGATGATCAAATCAGGCGAATGTTTGATTCCATTTAAATTATTACATTACATGTAATGCACCCCTTAGTGAGCATGTGAGCTAGGGGTTTTAATTCTGGATTTCCAGGCAAAAACATAGGAACATTGGGGTTGATCTCAGAGGATCATTCATGATCTCCTTGATCTGTCCATATCATTACTACTGTCCACACTGTTTCTCTAGGTGACCATGAATTTGTTGTCTATGTGTTTTATCATGTAAGTTTATGGGTTGTTCTTTTTTTTCATGTTGTATCACTTTCATTAAGGGAAATTACTATGTCTTCTATAGGGATGCATTAGGATGTTTTTAGAAGAGGAGATTATTGCTCCTGCCCCCCAGCTCTTGCAGCAGGTGACAAGTATGTGGCCACTAGGACAAGGCAGAGTGCAGGACATTTTGGGTACCACAACCATGGTAGATAGATCCCAAAGGTGCCTTTGACTGTTGCTTGTGTTTTGGCTAGTTGGGCGGACACCTTGGCAGCTGCTGCAGCAGGGAGCTGTCTGGGCTTGCACCTGCAAGCCGGTGGGACCTGTGTATCGGACATGTGGGCTCTGCGTTAACAAATTCACCAGAACTGGGAGTGTTTCCAGGTGCTGAACTTCAGCTGCCTGCTCTGTTACATCCCTAACACAGTTTTGGCCCAGGACAGCTGCAGTCTTCCAGCTGAGGAGCTGGTGGTGGCCACATGGTGCTCCTACCGATGC